TATAACGTTTGACAAGCAAGATATTGGCGGAAAACTTTCTCGATCACATGATCTGATAAGACTGTATAGTATAATATAAGGAAGTTAGTATAATTTTTCGTTAAGGTTAGGGTTTCAGCATATGGTTTTCTTACGGATTGGGTTAGGGTTAGGATTTAACGGGTGGTACTCGTAAAATATTTGAGTCCAACTCGGTGCGCGTTCTGGTAGGCTATATAATATATATATATATATATATAATAAACCTACAAGGTTAGGATCAGATTAGAGTGTTAGGTTTTCGAATATTCGTTCTCTACGGCTAGAGATCGGATTGAATAAGTCACGTGACAGTCGAGTGTAGAGTGATTTTGTTATACAGTCATATCACGTGATCGAGACAGTTTTCCGCCAATATCTCGCCAGGAGAGCATTCTAACCCTATGTCACGGGGGTTGTATCACGTCGTTGACCATTGTTAATGGTCTGGCCCGGCGCGCTACTTCGTAGCACTTGCCATAACATTTCGAGAAGAAAGCGGCGCGCGCTACTTCGAAGAAATTTAGACGAGTAACTGGTAACATCCCGCATCCGTCAATCACGTCGTGCCCCCCATTGTCGTTTCACTATCGTGGCCACTATAGTCTACAACGTATGACAAGTGAACGCCTCCGCGTTGACAATAATATGAAATAATCATGTACGTCTGCTTATGAGTATGTAAATGTTACTGGGCGGCGCTCAGCCTGTCATTCCGCCGAATCTTTACTTATGTTTATGAACATAATAGCCTGGGGTCCCCAGGTAAATGAGTATGACGAAGAATAAAATCATTGGTTTATCTTTTTAAATTGCTCTATACAAATTTAAAGATCATGAGAATTATTTAATCGCGAAAAGTGTTTAAATTATTATTAATACATAATAGATGTCACAATTGAGCACGTTAATGCGTTTTATTAGCAAGTATGAAGTATTATTGATATTAAGGGCCATATACTTAGGACGTCCGGCAAATAGGGAGGGGTTGGTTTTGGAATTTCGGACAAATCCGGACAGGGGGAGGTAGTTTCTGAAAATCCGGACGTTGGTTTTATTTGTATTCTTAAGAGTAGCTGGAAATCCGGACGTCCGCGGGAGGGGGGTGGTTTTGAAAATTCGGACACACCCGGACAGGGAGTGGTCTGAAAATCTGCGATTTTGGCGGACGTCCTAACTCTAACTCTAAGTAGATGGCCCCTTAAAGCATAGTGGTAAAAGTTAGTAGATGGATATCACATAAAGATACCAATTTATACGAGCTACTCTATTAGTATTATTCCACTGCTCTCTTTGTGACAGAATTAACCAAATATAAGATATCAGCAAGCTGAGTCAAACAAAGTTTGGTAACGTGAAAGACAGCCGAGCGAGGAGCTACTTAAGATTTGGCCGATCGTTAATTTCCATCGGTCATTAAATTGAATTAGTACTAGTAGCTGTAAACGTAGAACCAGAAAATAGCAACTGTTGAGGCTAAAATTAAGGTTGTCCCTTCGGCTCCATTGCAGTTTTCGTAATCGCAGGTTTTACAATCTTTGAGTTTCCAGGTAGCATTCGGGCTATGAGCAGTGTCACACGATCCACACCCGCACACAGTTAGGTTTGCGTTGTTCTCCTTGTAGCTCGGCTTCGGCCTGAGGTGCATTCTCTTTAACGTCTTAGGGAGAGAGGGTAAGAGAGGGGGGGGGGGGGTGCAGCAGGGAGGCGGAGGGGGGTGTTCAGCAGGGAGGGGGGGGGGGGGGGAGACAGTTACAAATCCCCCGAAGAGTTCTTGAGAAAGTTCTTACTTCTTTAGAAAAGGTAAAATAGTGACATATAAAGACTTACCCCCAACAGTGAATGTCCTGTAAGAGAGACCCATTGCTGCACTTAACAGAGATGCCTCCCTGAAAGCAACTATAAGTAAAGATAGGAGGGTGGTAAGAGTTACAGTTGCTATTATCCTGTATACTGGCGGTCTCGTTCCAGGCTGCACAAGATAGGCAGGTGCCGTTATCAGCACTATCAGGACATTCTCCACATCCGTACTCCGAGAAAGTGTTGTTTGCTTCATTGTAGTTCGGCCTGAACGAGATGTGTAGTGTGTACTAATCTTTGAGAAACAAATCGAAACTGAATTGACATGACCGATTAATAAAAATAATGGCAATGCGACAATTAACATTTAACAAGGTGTTGTAAATTGTAAAATGGAATTTTGCATAAACAACTGACTGGTGACAGAAAGCAGCAGCTTTTGCTTCGTCTCCATTAGTTCCACTAGCAGTACATTTATCGGTAATGGTAGAGTTATCACTGATTATATCCGAACCTGAAGGTGAGGACTGAGGATATGGTAAAACTAAAAGTAAAATAACGCTGAAGCAGTACAGTAAAGCCAAAATTAATTGTAAACAATTAATATTATTCAGTTTTTTTGACTGGAAGTTGCCGAAAAATCGTTTAACCATCCACAATGATTTACCTTCAATAACGCAGGTATAGGTCCAATAGTATTCCTCAGTCATGACAGTCACTACTTGGAATATCGCTAAAACAGCGAGCCAGGTAAAGCTTTTCATCATGCCAACAGCCTGGGCCAGTTAATGTTAATGTTATTGACTTGATCTCAGTCTTATTTTGATTGATGATGTCAACCCTTCTAGATCGTTGCTCTGCGAATTAAAAGAGCAACGATCTAGTAAAAACGATAGTTTGCGCGGCGCGTTGAAGCCCTCCAATAAATAATTATTAAACAGAACAAAAGGGAGAAATCTTCGTTTGAAGTGAAGCCGTAAAACAATAAGCTAAAAAAAACTTTGGCATGTAACTGTAAGCAGTTGGTATCGAATTCAAGATAAGAGATAAGAGTCATCAAATAACAGTCACATGCCAGCCTGACAGTGAGGCTATATCTGTATTTGTTTGCCGTCCCATGTTGAGACAATATCACAATTTAATTTTATGTTAACTTTATTTTAGAGCATAGACGTTATTGCCCCCTTATCTCAAAAAAGAAATGACACAAAATTAACTTACATGAACAGACGCAGAGGAGACCTTTTCAAGTAAGTAAGAAAAATAGGTCACCCCACGAGGTAGTTATTTAAAACATTTCCTGGTGTTTGAGATCTCTCCAAAATCAACTGAAGAGATTTCCCTTGGAGAATTTCTCTTTAGACTCTTAACTTGCGAACAAATTGAAGCAGCAAACTTTAGGCTAGAAACTTTATTGAATTGAAATAATCATTCCACGTAACAACGTCTTCTTCAGTTCTGTAATAAAATTGTTAAACATGTGTAAAAATTAACGACGGAAAGAAATTTAACAATAACATTAAAACAAAAACAGAGAAATAAAATTTTTTTATATGACCCAAAAATGTTATTGCAAAAAAAATGTCAAAACAACAAAAAATACGACAAGAAGAAATGTAAGCTAATACAACTAAATACTGTACTACTCATGATACTAAACTAATTAGTAAACGTAAAACTGGTTGTTCAGAATTCACAGTTCATGTGTAAAAACTAATGATAAAATCAGCACTTAAGCAACGATAACTCGGTTGTCATGGTTACTATCCAAGATAGTCCTATCAATACATTATTTACTAGTTAAACATCGACTAAATATTTGTACAAATAACTCAACTCAGAACGATCATTCATTTCAGGACTTAATCTCAATATATACATCGCTTCTACAATCTTTCTACGAACAGTTTTACTCTGTAAATCAAGTAACTTAAAAGATAAAACTGGGGTTCGGTTAGGATGTAGAGATGCGTAGTGCTGTCCAACCCCATTCTCTGGATGTGCTCTAGGATTCCTAGCAGCCTGTCTGTGCTCCATCAGACGAGCATGGAGGCTTCTCTCAGTTTCCCCACAGTATCTCTTACCACATAACCGAACCCCAGTTTTATCTTTTAAGTTACTTGATTTACAGAGTAAAACTGTTCGTAGAAAGATTGTAGAAGCGATGTATATATTGAGATTAAGTCCTGAAATGAATGATCGTTCTGAGTTGAGTTATTTGTACAAATATTTAGTCGATGTTTAACTAGTAAATAATGTATTGATAGGACTATCTTGGATAGTAACCATGACAACCGAGTTATCGTTGCTTAAGTGCTGATTTTATCATTAGTTTTTACACATGAACTGTGAATTCTGAACAACCAGTTTTACGTTTACTAATTAGTTTAGTATCATGAGTAGTACAGTATTTAGTTGTATTAGCTTACATTTCTTCTTGTCGTATTTTTTGTTGTTTTGACATTTTTTTGCAATAACATTTTTGGGTCATATAAAAAAATTATATTTCTCTGTTTTTGTTTTATTAAAACTTTTAATGTTATTGTTAAATTTCTTTCCGTCGTTAATTTTTACACATGTTTAACAATTTTATTACAGAACTGAAGAAGACGTTGTTACGCGGAATGATTGATTATTTCAATTCAATAAAGTTTCTAGCCTAAAGTTTGCTGCTTCAATTTGTTCGCAAGTTAAGAGTCTAAAGAGAAATTCTCCAAGAGAAATCAAGTTCAAATGCGACTCATAAATATAGCCCCCTTGAACTATTTATCCAACTGAAGAGAGCACTTTATATTCATTTCACAGTAAACAAAAACCACGATTTACAGTTTGGGCGAAAGGAAAATAATATAGTGAATGGATTAACTCATAACTGTAGTTTATATTTTATTTCATCGACAGTTGTCGTCAAATTGTGTGCATGAAAAACAGAGAATTTGAAATTACAAATGTGCTAAATTTTCATGTTACGTGCGTAACAGTTCAGACTTTGAACTTACGGCGGACGTTGCAGGGGGGGGGGGGGGGGGGGGGGGGGTGGGACGTTGCAGGGGGGGGGGGGGGGGGGGGGGGGTTACATGTGTGATGTGCATTGAACTGTAAATTCTCGCATATAAATTTTTGGGAGGTTGCAAGTAAAAATTGCACCTTATTCATATCTCTGCAAATAAATAAACTTATTTTGAAGTTGTTCAACATCACAGGAGCAATTAGTGATACATTTTACAAATCTTAATTTCGTCTCTAATTTATCACATTAAATCGTTAAAAGTTTTCCCAGGTCCAACAAAATATTAAAACTGACATTTACAGAATTAGCTTCTAAATAATAATGATTATATTACTAGAGTACTCTGCTTCTAATACTGCTACTATATAGTAGAGATTATATAGTCAATACAGAAATGGTTATTGGTGAGAATTTCCCTGAGCCAGCAGTAAACACAATAACTCAAAAGTTTAAACTTTAATCAAGCTGAAATCCATAAATTTACTATTGGCAATATAAACTCACATAATTTCATTTCGAACAATTAATCCACTAATAAACTAAGTAATTAACTAATTGAATCAAAGAGCGTCCACTCTAAGAAGAGAAGTAGAATCGAGAAGTTGAGGAAGAGGGCCGGTATCCCTGGCAACACACACAGACAACTGGTTAATGTTGTATACTCCCGGTGTAGAGAAGACAGCCGTCAAGTTTACTGATCTTGTCACGTGATCAGGTATCTCTATCTTGTGACGGACTACACCCGACCACATGAAGGGGAGAGTGTCCTTTGGTGGAGCCGGCCTGTGGGAATATCATATCATAACCACAATAATAAGGGAGCAATACTTTGGTGGAGCCGGCCTGTGGGAATATCATATCATAACCACAATAATAAGGGAGCAATACTTTGGTGGAGCCGGCCTGTGGGAATATCATATCATAACCACAATAATAGGGGAGCAATACTTTGGTGGAGCCGGCCTGTGGGAATATCATATCATAACCACAATAATAGGGGAGCAATACTTTGGTGGAGCCGGCCTGTGGGAATATCATATCATAACCACAATAATAGGGGAACAATACTTTGGTGGAGCCGGCCTGTGGGAATATCATATCATAACCACAATAATAGGGGAGCAATACTTTGGTGGAGCCGGCCTGTGGGAATATCATATCATAACCACAATAATAGGGGAACAATACTTTGGTGGAGCCGGCCTGTGGGAATTTCATATCATAACCACATTAATAGGGGAGCAATACTTTGGTGGAGCCGGCCTGTGGGAATATCATATCATAACCACAATAATAGGGGAACAATACTTTGGTGGAGCCGGCCTGTGGGAATATCATATCATAACCACAATAATAGGGGAACAATACTTTGGTGGAGCCGGCCTGTGGGAATTTCATATCATAACCACAATAATAGGGGAGCAATACTTTGGTGGAGCCGGCCTGTGGGAATATCATATCATAACCACAATAATAAGGGAGCAATACTTTGGTGGAGCCGGCCTGTGGGAATATCATATCATAACCACAATAATAAGGGAGCAATACTTTGGTGGAGCCGGCCTGTGGGAATATCATATCATAACCACAATAATAAGGGAGCAATACTTTTGGTGGAGCCGGCCTGTGGGAATATCATATCATAACCACAATAATAAGGGAGCAATACTTTGGTGAAGCCGGCCTGTGGGAATTTCATATCATAACCACAATAATAAGGGAGCAATACTTTGGTGGAGCCGGCCTGTGGGAATTTCATATCATAACCACAATAATAAGGGAGCAATACTTTGGTGGAGCCGGCCTGTGGGAATTTCATATCATAACCACAATAATAAGGGAGCAATACTTTGGTGGAGCCGGCCTGTGGGAGTTTCATATCATAACCACAATAATAAGGGAGCAATACTTTGGTGGAGCCGGCCTGTGGGAATTTCATATCATAACCACAATAATAGGGAGCAATACTTTGGTGGAGCCGGCCTGCGGGAATTTCATATCATAACCACAATAATAAGGGAGCAATACTTTGGTGGAGCCAGCCTGTGGGAATTTCATATCATAACCACAATAATAAGGGAACAATACTTTGGTGGAGCCGGCCTGTGGGAATTTCATATCATAACCACAATAATAAGGGAGCAATACTTTGGTGGAGCCGGCCTGTGGGAATTTCATATCATAACCACAATAATAAGGGAGCAATACTTTGGTGGAGCCGGCCTGTGGGAATTTCATATCATAACCACAATAATAGGGGAGCAATACTTTGGTGGAGCCGGCCTGTGGGAGTTTCATATCATAACCACAATAATAAGGGAGCAATACTTTTGGTGGAGCCGGCCTGTGGGAATTTCATATCATAACCACAATAATAGGGGAACAATACTTTGGTGGAGCCGGCCTGTGGGAGTTTCATATCATAACCACAATAATAGGGGAGCAATACTTTGGTGGAGCCGGCCTGTGGGAATATCATATCATAACCACAATAATAAGGGAGCAATACTTTAGTGGAGCCGGCCTGCGGGAATTTCATATCATAACCACAATAATAAGGGAGCAATACTTTAGGGTAAGTATAGGAGCAAGTGTGTACGAGTAGGAATAACATTATCTGACTAACCTGCCAGCAGTGGTATTAGCAGTAACCATAACAGTAAGTGAGGTGTTGTAACAGTTAGTAATGTGCAGTGTTACCGGTACCGGCAGCAGAGGTGCCGTCTTGAAATCTGCTGACCAAGTTTCCTGGTAACTCAGACCCAAACTTAGTAACTGTGGGAATGTATATATTAGAATGTGCGCTACAGGTAAAATTGTTTGCTACGATAAAAGTAGATTATAAGTACGTTTGACGGATACAAATTAATAACTTATTAACTAAAGAGATACAAGTTAAGTAACTTATTAATTTAGTAACTGATTGGATGTGAATTGTCAGTTTAGAATTAGTTGATTGAAGAACTGCTCGAGTGCTCTTATTGATCATGTCTCACAAAATATTGGAATTATTGTTGTATTTTGATGGCTTATTGGCGACAAATTTATAATAACTTTTCATTAATTAAGTCGGTACCTGTTGAGGCTGTGGAAGGAGAGAAGCCTGTAGAGCGGTGTGGTTTTGAGCATGGAGTATTCTAGACTTGTTGCCCTCCTCAGAGACACTGCCCTCCCAGAACACTAGCATTCCTGCAGTGGGAACTGTGTATTAAAGAGAACACTAGCATTCCTGCAGTTGGAACTGTATTAAAGAGAACACTAGCATTCCTGCAGTGGGAACTGTATTAAAGAGGACACTAGCATTCCTGCAGTGGGAACTGTATTAAAGAGAACACTACCATTTCTGCAATGGGAACTGTGTATTAAAGAGGACACTAGCATTCCTGCAGTGGGAACTGTGTATTAAAGAGGACACTAGCATTCCTGCAATGGGAACTGTGTATTAAAGAGAACACTAGCATTCCTGCAGTGGGAACTGTGTATTAAAGAGAACACTAGCATTCCTGCAGTGGGAACTGTGTATTAAAGAGAACACTAGCATTCCTGCAGTGGGAACTGTGTATTAAAGAGGACCAGGAAACAAATATATTTTCTTGATGGGAAAGAACTAAAGCAGATAAGTGGTAAAATGAAACATTGTTTCCTGCAAAGTATGAACTATGTAGTGAGTATGTACCCATGTTATAGTGGGGAGATGTAAAGTATGTACCCATGTTATAGTGGGGAGATGTAAAGTATGTACCCATGTTATAGTGGGGAGATGTAAAGTATGTACCCATGTTATAGTGGGGAGATGTAAAGTATGTACCCATGTTATACTGGGGAGATGTAAAGTATGTACCCATGTTATAGTGGGGAGATGTAAAGTATGTACCCATGTTATAGTGGGGAGATGTAAAGTATGTACCCATGTTATAGTGGGAAGATGTAAAGTATGTACCCATGTTATAGTGGGGAGATGCAAAGTATGTACCCATGTTATAGTGGGGGGATGTAAAGTATGTACCCATGTTAAAGTGGGGAGATGTAAAGTATGTACCCATGTTATAGTGGGGAGATGTAAAGTATGTACCCATGTTATAGTGGGGAGATGTAAAGTATGTACCCATGTTATAGTGGGGAGATGTAAAGTATGTACCCATGTTATAGTGGGGAGATGTAAAGTATGTACCCATGTTATAGTGGGGAGATGTAAAGTATGTACCCATGTTAAAGTGGGGAGATGTAAAGTATGTACCCATGTTATAGTGGGGAGATGTAAAGTATGTACCCATGTTATAGTGGGGAGATGTAAAGTATGTACCCATGTTATAGTGGGGAGATGTAAAGTATGTACCCATGTTATAGTGGGGAGATGTAAAGTATGTACCCATGTGATAGTGGGGAGATGTAAAGTATGTACCCATGTTATAGTGGGGAGATGTAAAGTATGTACCCATGTTATAGTGGGGAGATGTAAAGTATGTACCCATGTTATAGTGGGGAGATGTAAAGTATGTACCCATGTTATAGTGGGGAGATGTAAAGTATGTACCCATGTTATAGTGGGGAGATGTAAAGTATGTACCCATGTTATAGTGGGGAGATGTAAAGTATGTACCCATGTTATAGTGGGGAGATGTAAAGTATGTACCCATGTTATAGTGGGGAGATGTAAAGTATGTACCCATGTTATAGTGGGGAGATGTAAAGTATGTACCCATGTTATAGTGGGGAGATGTAAAGTATGTACCCATGTTATAGTGGGGAGATGTAAAGTATGTAAAGTATGTAAAGTATGTAAAGTATGTAAAGTATGTACCCATGTTATAGTGGGGAGATGTAAAGTATGTACCCATGTTAAAGTGGGGAGATGTAAAGTATGTACCCATGTTATAGTGGGGAGATGTAAAGTATGTACCCATGTTATAGTGGGAAGATGTAAAGTATGTACCCATGTTATAGTGGGGAGATGTAAAGTATGTACCCATGTTATAGTGGGGAGATGTAAAGTATGTACCCATGTTATAGTGGGGAGATGTAAAGTATGTACCCATGTTATAGTGGGGAGATGTAAAGTATGTACCCATGTTATAGTGGGGAGATGGACTGTCTGCGGAGGTTTTGTTCGCCTCAAGGCAGGCCTGTGATCTCCTGTACAGATCTAGCACGTGATTAGCCGAGGTATCTACTAGCGGTCCACCTCCCAAACTGAGAGGAGTTATGAAGTTGAGGTCATTTATAGAAAATATCATCTCATGTTACCTCTAGACAATGGAACTTGTTTTATTTCTAATCTGAATCAGAGAACATTACAATTACAGCTAATAATCATGGTATATCAAAATTTCGTGTATCGTTGATATATTCATATATAATATATATACCATTAGTAATTACCTGACACTAGAAAAGTAAGCAGATTCTTTGGGAGAAAGTTCAGCTCTAAACGGAATGTTGATACTTGCACCTGGATACACAACTAATGGAATGTTAGACTCCAAGCTGTTCATGATCCAACGGTTGCTCACCAAACTCAGCTGGGTCACCTGTAAAGTAACAATGTTAAACTTATAACTTATAAGTGATAAATAAAAAGTGATAACGTCGGAAACATGTTATGAAAATGGAAATGGAAATGAAGTGGATTTAACATAACTTCGTGGAATCGTGCCGAGAGCTAATACCGCATTCTTTTTATTTACTGTTGATCGATCTTCTCTGTTCATATGCTATCTTCAAGTCAATATCAGTTTAAAGATGTAGGTGGTGGAATGTAACACAAACTCACATGAAGATCTTGTAGACTGAGCGAATAATATCCCACATTGTTAACTATAACAGAACCCAGCAGCTGTAATTTGTTGTGGGACGTCGGAGTAACGTTACAAACTCGTGATTCTACCGTCACGCTCACACTGATGTTGACCTTCGTTTCTGTGCTCACTGCCCGGTGACTGAGAAAAATCATACTTGAAGTAAATCAATTGAAATGGTTAATTTGCAAAGTAAAATTCAATTTTGAACAATTCTCAAAGTGACATATTTCCAGTAACTAACTTTTTTGAAAACCAAATAGAATAATATATGATACAAAGAAAACTTCATTTACGGACGTGAGGAGAGTAAGGACTCCTCCAACTACATTAAATCAATTCCTTCTGTAACGTCCTCAATAAATTTTAGTTGATGATGAGAGATAAGACTCAGAATTGGGATTGAAAAATTTTAAGTCGAAATAGGAGTTCTGTCCCGGCCGATAGAATCCCCTGGCACGGATGTCAGGGTGCACATTGTCTCCTGTTAGTGTGGCATTTGTTGAGAAAGTCTCCCCGTCTAGAGTCTGCAGGTGGGGTTCACATTTCACGTCTTTACAAACAGTTGATATTTGTTTGGCGATGAAATCCCTAACTGAGTTGTGGCGGATGATGATGTAGCCTCCTCTTGGACCTTTGGACAGTTTAGAGCATGGTTGATGTCCATTTTGGCCCAACAAACACATGACTGAAGTAATCGTGGAAGGTCTTTGTTATATCGTAGAAGTAGACTATTCCTGAATTCCCCTTTGTTCAGTGTGAAACCATAAATCTCTCACTGCTTTCATTGCAGACTAACGTATATTCTGATTCTTGCTTATCTGCTCTCACTTTGAGAATTTCTTGCAGCGACTCGGAATCCTGATCTATATCTGTTTCAATTCCGGCCATGGCCTTTACTAAGAACTAATCACTTCCATGGATGTTTGATACTCCTCTGATGCCAACTTTGATAAAACTGGTATGCCTAGTCCCCCATATCGTACGGGTAGCGCAACTGTTCTTGGTGTAATAGGGCATCCAAATAAAGCCGGTATGAATTTCTCATCGATAAGCATGTCAAGAGGTTGCAAGTATTGATCTATTCCTTCAATTGTTCTCATGAAGTATGTAATTTTGTGTCTAAATCCATGAGTGAATGCTGCATGAGCTGCTTGTGGCTGGGATTGACCAAAATCTGATAATCTGTTGATCATTTTGGCCCATCCTTCAACTAAATTATTGATGTAAAGTTGTTTATATTCCTGTGACTCAATAACCGCTCCAAGATGTCTCTGTCCATTTATTTTTATCTCAATCCCGCTTTCTCCAAATATAACTAAAAAAGAATATTGATGAAGGAGCAATGAACTAACATTTCATTTGCATGTCAGTTAACTTCTACACAAATTGTTTTTGTTCTTTCTTAAGTTGCAATTCCAAGGCCACAACGCTTAACTTCACGAAGTTAAGAATGTATAGAAGATAAGCATATAAAGCAATGCAACATCCTTTAATTTCAGTGTCTACAAGTAGTTCATTTTTCTTTAGACAGATCTGAGCATTCGTTCGAATTTCGAGGGAAACGCCTTGCGTATAGTAATTTTAGTATTATATTGATTTAACTTGGCTATAGTATTTCGGCATTATCGACGGCCAGCTCTGTTGCTCTCACGCCTCAGCTCACCACTAAAGACATTTTTTGGGGCTGCCATCTGTTGATGAAATTATTGATTTTATGTTTGGAAATTCGTTACTGTCATAACTATATCTTCATTGCTAGGTTTTATGACAATTTTCAATAATACGTACTCGAAGAAACAGGCTGCAACAGTGCTACTTGATGATGAAATTAAAGTTTCTCTTCGCTCTCACATTGGCTCTGATCACGGGTAGGATTTCATTCCATATTATTATTTTGAAGACATACAGGATCGGAGTTATGTAAACAAGCAGGAATGCAACGAGTAATAAATTTAAAAGACTACTACAAATTTCAAATTTGATGAACCTTTAATGATATTTGCAGCCACTACTGAGGACAGAGTAAAAATTACAACGAGGCTCTAAAATATATGTTAGAACTAGTTAAAAATAGCCATTGCATCTGGACACTAAGAGTCGGAAAGGCAATTTTAAGAGATATAAACATTTTCTGCATTTTACTGCTTAATAAATTATTTGAGTAAAGAGTTACTAGGAGATTTTCGATATTATGATTAAAGACGATAGGCAGCCCTTCATTTTAAAGACTTTTGCCCTACCTATGTGAACGATATTAATTTCAGTTAAACAAGTCAAGACAGATTGCAGAAAAGACCTAAGCGGGTTTGAAAAGCTTCTTCTAGAGGAGCACAATAAAATCAGAGATTTATACCCTGAACTGCCAAGTTTATGCTATGCTGGAAGCGCTAATGGAATCCACCTCAACGCTCAACAATGGGTAGAAAGTAGTACAGCTAATAAAACTACAGTTGATGATTTATCGCACAGTCCCTTGGCAGTAGAAAAAAAGGTAGGAGAGAACATAGGAAAAATGCTTGCGGTTGAAGGTGACGTAGAAACGGTCATATCTATTGTGAGAGATTGGTTCAATCCTTGTCAGTATGTACTGTTAGATCTTATCGATGCTCAGGGGATAGACGACTATGGGTTAAGGAAATGCGCTCAGATCCTGTGGAAGAGTACCATGTATGTCAACTGTGGCCTTAAAATAATGCCAGACAAGCAAGTTTTAACAATGTGTCAATATTATCCTCCTATGATTCTAGCATCTACTAGTAGTAATATCAAGGAGAACCTTGTATCATTGACGGGTCGGGAACACATCATAGAGGACCAGCGGAGTTATCAGTTCAACTTCAGTAGGTCACAATTACAGTTTAAAGCATTCCAAGCTGTGGAGTTCGGACTAACCATATTTCAAAATAACACGCGAGGACCTTTATTGGAATGGAAGTTAGATCCTCAAAAAAATGCAATTTATTATTTAAAGTACTGTGACTTAGAATTGCTAGTCAACGAAAACACCGAACACTACACACAAATTGTGTACACTCTTTACACAATAAAAGTAAATGAAGTGGGTTTCGAAATATTGGCCAATGGAACAACGATGTTTTTCATCGAAGTGGGAAAGATCGAAGGAGCAGAGGATTGCCTGGAGGACTGGAAAACTTTGACTAAATCAGAATATGCCGGTTTCAAGACAAGGATTATAGGATACTTAAAATATGATATTAAAAATTGGTTTAGACCTTTGCCAACTTCAAACTTAAAGAAACTAGACATCGATTATGGTATGAAAATAGAAGACTTATTTTCAAGAGATGAAAGGGGCAAAAGGCAAGCAGATGTGACAGGAATTTATGAGACAGAGAACAACGTATTTGACCTTGATGATGACGATAACGACTCATCATCACAGAAGTTAACTGATAAAAAGCATTACATTATAACTGACAACGATGGCAAGAAAATAAACGTTACTTTCCCACCGATTCACGTAACATTTGGTACACGAACAAACGGCGCAGCTAAAACCTTTATCGACACTACTGATGATTTTGAAGGAATAGAAAGATTTCAGCTCATACTCCAGCAAGGGGAACATAAAGGAATTCTCACGGGTAACGATCAACTTTACACTTGGCAAGAAGCTAAGAAAGCGTATGACGAAAAGGGACTTCTGCTTCCGTACATTACTGCCGAGCTTAAGTCGAACGACTTCGGAAGGTTTGTTTGTTTGGGGACCGGTTTTTGGTACCCGGCCAATGTTTACAAAATAATATGATACATAACAATATAATTTTATCTAATATACGTGAATATGAAAATTGAAAATTATGATTCAACCTTTTTACGTCTACCTATTTACGTCTATTCATTAAAAACAAAAACTTTAAAAATATAAAATAAATAATTTGATTTTTTTAAGGTCGTTGGAGTTCGATGTGGGGAATAAACTGAGCTTCGGTGGATATTACAACGGAGAACTAGTGGACGATACCAGCAAATATACACTCAGGATAAGGGGGGTTGTGAAGGATAAGAACCACGAGATAATCATTATTGACACAGATGTGATAGGTGAGATTGACAGGACTAAGAAAATGAGTTTCATCAGCGCCGGAGGAGCGTCTGTATTCTTAGTAATTATCATTGGCTTCATTGTCTCTCATTTCATACGAAAAAGAAGAGAGAAAAGACGTGTTATAGAAACTATAGCCAAGTTCAATGATATGCTTGCTAATGATGACCGTCGAATCAGCCCACCAGCATCGCAAGCCTTCACATCGCTGCAGGTTCCAGAATCCAAGAGCGCCATGACAACTAACACGGCTAGCACTGAATGGTGGACACAGGATGAAACAGAGTGCCAGTGTGCAGGAACGTGTCACTGTGCAGATCAATACAGTGATCAATACAGTGTTCAGTATGATCAATACAGTGATCAGTATGAGTATGATCAGTACGGGGATTGTGAGGTAGAGCAGTACGACAGTCAGGGGGATGCTGCCTTTGGAGCCCAATATTCTGCAGTTGAGGCAGCATCGAGACTGCTTAGCGAAAATGATAAAAATATTGTGAAAAGGAGAGGGGGATACCCGTGATTTTTTCATTAATAAAGTTGCATTTGTGATAAAATTTATTATTAAGTTATCAAAGTGTACTACAGTAAAACCCCGATATACCTCAAACCCCGATTTACCGTGGCCGTTTCCAATATAATTTAAACAAAATAAAACCCCGATTTACCGCGGATGTTTCCTTTCCCCCAAACTCCGCGGTAAATCGGGGTTTTACGTATTATTAAATTATTAAAGTGTACTAATATTAAGTTATTAAATTGTACTAATATTAAGTTATTAAAGTGAACTAATATTAAATTATTAAAGTGTACTAATATTAAGTTATTAAACTCAAAACTGTACTAATATTAAGTTATTAAATTGTACTAATATTAAGTTATTGAAGTGTACTAACGTTACACCAGGAATATCTGTGGAAGGAGTGTAGTATAACAGAGTAACTAAATCGTATTTCTCTGCCTCCTCCCCTCCATAAACCCACACAGCTATGTAAGCCGTTTGACCTGTAACGGATTTTTGTCATCAATTGGAAGTTTCAGGGTTTCATTCGAATCAGGAAAAAGCGGACATATGTGTTTTTTTGCGTTTGAAGATTTTGCATCAGAATTTCGGAGGAAGAGTTAGAAAGAAATGATGAAAGATAAACTAACCGGGGTTGAGTTGACCGTCAGGGAGATTAACTACAGCAGCTCGAGGAGCATGATGCGAGGGATCTATCACGTGACAAAACTGTCCGCCTCGTGGGTGAACCACAGGTTGAAACGGCGACAGTCGCACCTTAGTCAGTATTTGTTAGGGTCCAAAGAAGACCCGATAAAACTTGAATCGAAGTTTCAAGAGGGTGAGCAAATTTAGTCAGATAACGAGACAAACAGACAGATAACGAGACAAACAGACAGATAACGAGACAAACAGACAGATAACGAGACAAACAGACAGATAACGAGACAAACAGACAGATAACGAGACAAACAGACAGATAACGAGACAAACAGACAGATAACGAGACAAACAGACAGATAACGAGACAAACAGACAGATAACGAGACAAACAGACAGATAACGAGACAAACAGACAGATAACGAGACAAACAGACAGATAACGAGACAAACAGACAGATAACGAGACAAACAGACAGATAACGAGACAAACAGACAGATAACGAGACAAACAGACAGATAACGAGACAAACAGACAGATAACGAGACAAACAGACAGATAACGAGACAAACAGACAGATAACGAGACAAACAGACAGATAACGAGACAAACAGACAGATAACGAGACAAACAGACAGATAACGAGACAAACAGACAGATAACGAGACAAACAGACAGATAACGAGACAAACAGACAGATAACGATAAAAACAGACAGATAACGAGACAAACAGACAGATAACGAGACAAACAGACAGATAACGAGACAAACAGACAGATAACGAGACAAACAGACAGATAACGAGACAAACAGACAGATAACGAGACAAACAGACAGATAACGAGACAAACAGACAGATAACGAGACAAACAGACAGATAACGAGACAAACAGACAGATAACGAGACAAACAGACAGATAACGAGACAAACAGACAGATAACGAGACAAACAGACAGATAACGAGACAAACAGACAGATAACGAGACAAACATACAGATAACGAGACAAACAGACAGATAACGAGACAAACAGACAGATAACGAGACAAACAGACAGATAACGAGACAAACAGACAGATAACGAGACAAACAGACAGATAACGAGACAAACAGACAGATAACGAGACAAACAGACAGATAACGAGACAAACAGACAGATAACGAGACAAACAGACAGATAACGAGACAAACAGACAGATAACGAGACAAACAGACAGATAACGAGACAAACAGACAGATAACGAGACAAACAGACAGATAACGAGACAAACAGACAGATAACGAGACAAACAGACAACAGATAGCTAACCTCGCCGAGAGAGCAGGGACGAGAAGTAGCCAGACAGAGTTTAGTGAGAGGAGTAGCCCCGGTGTTGGTGGCCTCTATTACTGCACACTTCACCTCACCACAAAACAGCTGAATTCAGTTGTAGTTACATTTCCTTCTTATTTAACAAATTCAAGTCAGGTTTCGTGAAATCGAGTTTGAATTGTATTAGTAATGTAAGCAATGTGTATTGAGTATATGCTAAAATACAGTGATATGAAGATTGAATAAGTATGGTTACCTAACGTGATGTATTAGTAATGTAAGCAGTGTGTTAATGTGTATTGAGTATTTGCTAAAATCAGACTCACGTGAGTTGGAAGGGAGGAAGTTTCCAGCTCAAGTCTTGGGAGTGGAGACGTCACTAGCATATTGAGTCTGCAACAATTGGTATTGGAGGATTCAACTACATGGTGGTCCAGAAGTCCCCCCCCCTCCCGCCCCTCCTGCCCACACACGCAACCCTTTAAATTTGTGTGCAATTTTGACACATGCACAAGAGAAACGCCATCTTAGGACACAAGGAGAGTGAGGACTCCTCGGACTACATTAAATTAATTCCTTCTGTAACATCCTTAATAAATGTAATAGATTTATAGAGTTTTAATTAGTTTAAAACATGAGTTATGTAAGGATTGCGTGTGTGTAGTTGCTTCTGGACCACCCTGAGCTGGGTGCATTAGATATTATGTTCATTCTAGGTCCTATTTTGGCGCCTAAAAATAATCGAACGTTCGTGTTATTTATTTTACAGAAAATGAGTTCTATTCTTGAATCCTGTACTATATATATTATATATATATATTAGTGATATGCACAGCAAGTTAAAGAGTCGAGTGGCTAAATAGTAAATAACCTGTTGTCAATACCGTACACCTGACCAACACGCTGATCCTTAGTTTGGTTTAACCGGGGTCCTCTCGGACACAGGTTTATCTTCCCTGGAATCATGTTCTCCATCACACTGAAAATATTAATAAAGTTATTATAAATTAATAAAGTTATTTATTATTATATATTGCACTGTCCTGTTCTCTGTGAGACCCACCTTGTCAGGATACCACATATAACTGGGAAATACCTCAGAGTTAACAGGCCACCCGGCACCCCATCAGCTTAATTGGGTGCCCAATCAACCTGAAAACTTCACCCAGGTCATAGTAGTGTTACAAGTGCTTAGTGCACCCAAAAACATCGCCCAAATCTTTGTAGATCAGATTTTCAGATTACGTTGACTTGAGAGCCTGCCTTGGCTCAGATCTCATGTCTTCTGATGATTTTCCGTTTATCAAATTGAAATCATTAATTGGACATTGAAAAAAAATTCAGTCAAAACAGTGAAATTGGGGTCGCGGAAAGATGAAATCTGAAAATGTCCTACCAGTAGGACATTTTCATAATTTTCTTTTTGCATATGAAGCTTTCAGTTCTACGGTGGTAACTTGTGTCACTCACACTGACCTCACTGGTTGGTCACTGGTAAAAATTTCGGTCAAGGAAAGGGCGGAAAAGTTTCTATTAAAAAATATTCCAAAATGTTTCATTCTATTGTGATGATTTTCCGTTTATAGAAGCTTTATTTTGCAATCTAACTTTCAGTAACTCAATCTTTTGCAGTCCACAGTGAAGTCATTTGATCATTGCAGAAAAATTGAGTTAAAACAGTGAAATTTAGGTCACGGAAAGCTGAAATCTGAAAATCTCCTACCGGTAGGACATTTAAAACATTTTCCTTTTATCAAAGTTTTCTACGGATGTTAAGCTTCCAGTACAACAATAAAGAATTATTGTTGTTCTGATCAAGTACAAGGCACCCTGTCCAGGAAAATTTCAAATTGGGTAAAGTTTCCCGGTATCCCCTCAGTCGCATTTTGAAAGCAGATATTTCTGTGAAAAGATAGACGATATATGATATCTACCATCTCAGATCCTCCCTCTTCACTATGTGCCGGAGGTTTTTTGTTGTTGTTGTATATCAATATGGTAGCTTTTTTCCGTCGGCCGTCGTCGTCGTACATACGTACATACGAGCCCGCGCGCACAGATGTCACACACGTTTCTCACTCCGCAAAGTTATTTTGCGCGATATTCCGAATTAAATTATTGTTGGTGCGCTGAGCTGATCAAATAAATAGTTAATTTCACCATGTACGTATCCCACAAGGCACTTATTTATGAAATTTGAAGGTATAATTAAGTGGACTGTATTTCGAGTTAGTATTCCTATTATGCACAGGTCCGTGCCAGGTTGTATAAACAATAAACATAGGGTTGCATAGAAATATACACGATTTCCAGAATCAATATTATATTAACTGGGCGGCGCTCGGCCTGTCACTCCGCCATATCTGCATGCTTATAACTTTATAAACAGTAAAGCCTGAGGTGCCCAGGTTAAATGGAATATGATGAAATATGCCATTACGGATCGGGAAATTGAGCGGCCATCCACAAAAGAAAAGCGGCTGCATTTCTTGTTAAGTCTGCCCGCTGACTACGTTGAACAACTTAAAATCATTTTTATCATTTTTTGGTCAAAATTTCGGTCAATATCAAAAAATCTAAAAAGAAGTATTCCTCATGATACCAAACTCTACATAGCTGAAATAAAGCTGTACTTGCGAATTAGCGAACAAGATGACGATGTTAAGTTTCATCACAACTCAGTTTTAGCTGTTTTTAAAGCCTTAAAACAGCAATGACCAGCGATGCCATGCACATTTGACCAAAAGTCGACGAATGAATGCAGGGCATGGGGTTAGAACGTGCGTGAGAGTGCGTGTGAGCGCGTGAGAGTGTGTGAGAGTGCGTGAGAGTGTGTGAGAGTGCGTGAGAGTGCGTGAGAGTGCGTGTGAGCGCGTGAGAGTGTGTGAGATGGCATGAGAGTGCATGAGAGTGCGTGAGAGTGCGTGAGAGTGCGTGAGAGTGCGTGATAGTGCGTGAGAGTGTGTGAGAGTGCGTGAGAGTGCGTGAAAGTACGTGAGAGTGCGTGAGAGTACGTGAGAGCGCGTGAAAGTGTGTGAGAGTGCGTGAAAGTACGTGAGAGTACGTGAGAGCGCGTGAAAGTGTGTGAGAGTGCGTGAGAGTGCGTGACTCCAACAAGAGAGTGCGTGAAAGTGCGTGACTCCAACAAAAAAGTGCGTGAGAGTGCGTTAGAGTACGTGAGAGTGCGTGAGAGTACGTGAGAGTGCGTGATAGTGCGTGAGAGTGCGTGAGATTGCGTGAGAGTGCGTGAGAGTGCGTGACTCCAACAAGAGTCACGTGATCAACTAGCGCACAACCCATCACATTCTACAAGGAGATTGTATAGAACTCAGTGAACTGCTATCCAATGTAAAATAAAACTTCACTTTGGAAGCGAGGCAAGATAAAGCACCACTTTTAATAAACAAGGATGAAAATCAATTTACACTATTAGTATTACTATTACAGGTAACTGTATTACAGGTAAATGGAAAGGTCAGAAAACAACAATTTACAAAAAAACCCACAATATAAATTATTTTTCTTATACCATTAATAATTTATCATGTCTACAAACTCGGTTCAAATAATGATTACTGAGCCAGTAAATAGGTTTTCATTAAAAATAATGAGCCAGTAAGGTTTCACTAAAAATAGTGAGCCAGTAAGTAGGTTTCACTACAAATAATAAGCCAGTTAGTAGGTTTCACTAAAAATAGTGAGCCAGTAAGTAGGTTTCACTACAAATAGTGAGCCAGTAAGTAGGTTTCACTACAAATAGTGAGCCAGTAAGTAAGTTTCACTGTGATTAAGGGGATTATAGGTATTAGGTAGGAAGACTGATCCACTGGGCGAGAAGACTGATCCACTGGGCGAGAAGACTGATCCACTGGGCGAGAAGACTGATCCACTGGGAGAGAAAACTGATCCACTGGGCGAGAAGACTGATCCACTGGGCGAGGAGACTGATCCACTGGGCGAGAAGACTGATCCACTGGGCGAGAAGACTGATCCACTGAGCGAGGAGACTGATCCACTGGGAGAGAAGACTGATCCACTGGGCGAGAAGACTGATCCACTGGGAGAGAAGACTGATCCACTGGGCGAGGAGACTGATCCACTGGGCGAGAAGACTGATCCACTGGGCGAGGAGACTGATCCACTGAGCGAGAAGACTGATCCACTGGGAGAGGAGACTGATCCACTGGGAGAGAAGACTGATCTACTGGGAGAGAAGACTGATCCACTGGGCGAGGAGACTGGTCCACTGGGAGAGAAGACTGATCCACTGGGAGAGAAGACTGATCCACTGAGCGAGAAGACTGATCCACTGGGCGAGGAGACTGGTCCACTGGGAGAGAAGACTGATCCACTGGGCGAGAAGACTGATCCACTGGGCGAGAAGACTGATCCACTGGGAGAGAAGACTGATCCACTGGGAGAGAAGACTGATCCACTGGGAGAGAAGACTGATCCACTGGGAGAGAAGACTGATCCACTGAGCGAGAAGACTGATCCACTGGGAGAGAAGACTGATCCACTGGGAGAGAAGACTGATCCACTGAGCGAGAAGACTGATCCACTGGGAGAGAAGACTGATCCACTGGGAGAGAAGACTGTCTCACTAAGTGAGGAGTTGGGGGAGTCCTCTGACAGTGTCATGTCGGATGAAACAGGCGGATAAATGCGGGAGGAACATGTAGTAATAGTAGGAACAGTGGAACTGGAGAATATGAGGGGTTTGACAAAGAGTAGTGGTTTTACGAACATGGGACTTTCAATGCTGTCTTTACGGGGTGCCTCCTTCAACATAGTCCTCTGTGTATTAGGAATACTGGGAATACTAGCAATACTGGGAGCTATAAGTAGTAGACTAGGGGGATTGGGAGAAAGTGTTTCCTCGTGTAACTGCTGATGCTCTATTAACAGTGAGTTTTGGAGTGTTTTGAAGGAACATAGAGAACACCTGTAAGTGATGAGACCGCTGTAAGTAGTACCACTAGTAGACACTGCTAGACCAGCAGGGTCGTAACCCTGGTAACCCTGGTAACCCTGGTAACCCTGGTAACCCTGGTAACCCAGCCCGTGGAGCTGCTGATGCTCTTCTAGCTGAGAATTGTGGCGTGTTTTGAAGGAACATAGAGAGCACCTGTAGGTTCTCTGCCCCCCATTATTATGGTTCCGCTGGTGAGAAGCTAAGGTAGATTTTCTAGCAGTAGAAAAGGAACAATGGGAACACTTGTAGGGTTTCTTTCCAGTATGAACTCGTTGATGAACATTCAAGTTATGTTTACGACCTGTAGTGTAGGCGCAATCACGGCATTTGTGTGTTACCTTTAGGATGGGAACAGTAGAACTACAGTGTTCATTATTGATGTGACTTAGTGGAGAACCAAGATAATGTTGCTGAACATGTTCTGTGAAGTTATCCTCGTTAGAAAACATAGTTCGGCATGAAGGGCATACACTACTACTACTACTACATACAAAACCTTCTGATTTAGCAACAACCCTATCTTCCTTTTTTACTTCCGTTTTTATTATTTCTGGAAATACAATGCCTGGATCCATCATTCAGCTTTCTGGGAAATCTTTGTTTACTAATTACTAATTACTAATTATTAAATCGGCTATTAAGAAGTAAATGTTTAATAAGAATATACAATTAAGAATGAATAAGTGTCAAAAAGAGAGCATCACGGCTCTCGACAGACAAAGTGAAACAAGGCGAATGAATGGAGAAAAACTAACTGAAATAATCGACCTTTCAGCACTCATGAGATCTATGAATGAACATATCCTCAGCACATATACTGAGAGTAAGAGTGGAGAAAGTAGAAATGTGCTTCCTACAACCAGTAAGGTACCATTAGTTAGTAGTATATATTTGTTGCAGTAGTCAGGAATACTCAGGATCTAATAAGGGTCTAATAGTAATCACACATAAACACATACGCGGCATTCCTGTAACATCCCTAAACTTGTATCACTATTGTACCAGTACTAGTGGAACCCGTGCCAGTATTATACCAGTACAGGAACAACTAAAAGCACTGGATATTACATCTAATATTACAAGCAGGTAATGGTATCTCATTACAGCTGGTACAAGCAGGTAATGGTATCTCATTACAGCTGGTACAAGCAGATAATGGTATATCATAACAGCTGGTACAAGCAGGTAATTATAGTATATCATTACAGCTGGTACAAGCAGGTAATGGTATTTCATTACAGCTGGTACAAGCAGGTAATGGTATATCATTACAGCTGGTACAAGCAGGTAATGGTATATCATTACAGCTGGTACAAGCAGGTAATGGTATATCATTACAGCTGGTACAAGCAGGTAATGGTATATCATTACAGCTGGTACAAGCAGGTAATGGTATCTCATTACAGCTGGTACAAGCAGGTAATGGTATCTCATTACAGCTGGTACAAGCAGGTAATGGTATCTCATTACAGCTGGTACAAGCAGGTAATGGTATCTCATTACAGCTGGTACAAGCAGGTAATGGTATCTCATTACAGCTGGTACAAGCAGGTAATGGTATCTCATTACAGCTGGTACAAGCAGGTAATGGTATCTCATTACAGCTGGTACAAGCAGGTAATGGTATCTCATTACAGCTGGTACAAGCAGAGCAGGTAATGGTATCTCATTACAGCTGGTACAAGCAGGTAATGGTATCTCATTACAGCTGGTACAAGCAGGTAATGGTATCTCATTACAGCTGGTACAAGCAGGTAATGGTATCTCATTACAGCTGGTACAAGCAGAGCAGGTAATGGTATCTCATTACAGCTGGTACAAGCAGGTAATGGTATCTCATTACAGCTGGTACAAGCAGGTAATGGTATCTCATTACATCTGGTACAAGCAAGTAATGGTATCTCATTACAGCTGGTACAAGCAGGTAATGGAATCTCATTACAGCTGGTACAAGCAGGTAATGGTATCTCATTACAGCTGGTACAAGCAGGTAATGGTATATCATTACAGCTGTTACAAGCAGGTAATAGTATCTCATTACAGCTGGTACAAGCAGGTAATGGTATATCATTACAGCTGTTACAAGCAGGTAATGGTATCTCATTACAGCTGGTACAAGCAGGTAATGGTATATCATTACAGCTGTTACAAGCAGGTAATGGTATCTCATTACAGCTGGTACCTGCAGGTAATGGTATATCATTACAGCTGGTACAAGCAGGTAATGGTATCCATTACAGCTGGTACAAGCAGGTAATGGTATCTCATTACATCTGGTACAAGCAAGTAATGGTATCTCATTACAGCTGGTACAAGCAGGTAATGGTATCTCATTACAGCTGGTACAAGCAGGTAATGGTATCTCATTACATCTGGTACAAGCAAGTAATGGTATCTCATTACAGCTGGTACAAGCAGAGCAGGTAATGGTATATTATTACAGCTGGTACAAGCAGGTAATGGTATCTCATTAATACAGCTGGTACAAGCAGGTAATGGTATCTCATTACAGCTGGTACAAGCAGGGAATGGCATCTCATTGATACAGCTGGTACAAGCAGGTAATGGTATCTCATTACAGCTGGTACAAGCAGGTAATGGTATCTCATTACAACTGGTACAAGCAGGTGATGGTATATCATTACAGCTGGTACAAGCAGGTAATGGTATCTCATTACAACTGGTACAAGCAGGTAATGGTATCTCATAACATCTGGTACAGTGGTACAAGCAGGTAATGGTATCTCATCACAGCTGGTACAGCTGGTACAAGCAGGTAATGGTATATCATAACAGCTGGTACAAACAGGTAACGGTATCATGCGTAATGTGTATATTATACATAAGATGGTAACACTATTACTCTGTTTCCTGTCCACTACTGCAAACAATTAATTGTAACGCTGCTGTTCTCTGTTCCACACTTCATTTTTTAGCTTTGTGTTCAAAGTTAACATTGTGATAACGTTTCTGAAGTGCCTACTTCTGTGCCACCCTGTACTTAAAATATAATTTTTAGTAGGGTCATATTAGTAGACCCCCCCCCCGTATTATTAGCTTCTTTACTGCTGACACCTTCCCTCTTACAGGGATTGTTTGTTTTGCTGATTTTTTCCATTTCTTGTGGTCTGAATGTTATAGTATTGTACTATCTTTATACTTTTATAGTACACTGATTGGCACAAGTTCATTAAGTATCGTTATATAAACAACACACAGTCAGTGACTGTTTTAGTGGTCACCACTTAACAAGTCACCAATTAAACACACCTAATTAACATTGCGTGTTAAAAGAATACACTACTATACCAATTAAACACACCTAATTAACATTGCGTGTTAAAAGAATACACTACTATACCAATTAAACACACCTAATTAACATTGCGTGTTAAAAGAATACACTACTATACCAATTAAACACACCTAATTAACATTGCGTGTTAAAAGAATACACTACTATACCAATTAAACACACCTAATTAACATTGCGTGTTAAAAGAATACACTACTATACCAATTAAACACACCTAATTAACATTGCGTGTTAAAAGAATACACTACTATACCAATTAAACACACCTAATTAACATTGCGTGTTAAAAGAATACACTACTATACCAATTAAACACACCTAATTAACATTGCGTGTTAAAAGAATACACTACTATACCAATTAAACACACCTAATTAACATTGCGTGTTAAAAGAATACACTACTATACCAATTAAACACACCTAATTAACATTGCGTGTTAAAAGAATACACTACTATACCAATTAAACACACCTAATTAACATTGCGTGTTAAAAGAATACACTACTATACCAATTAAACACACCTAATTAACATTGCGTGTTAAAAGAATACACTACTATACCAATTAAACACACCTAATTAACATTGCGTGTTAAAAGAATACACTACTATACCAATTAAACACACCTAATTAACATTGCGTGTTAAAAGAATACACTACTATACCAATTAAACACACCTAATTAACATTGCGTGTTAAAAGAATACACTACTATACCAATTAAACACACCTAATTAACATTGCGTGTTAAAAGAATACACTACTATACCAATTAAACACACCTAATTAACATTGCGTGTTAAAAGAATACACTACTATACCAATTAAACACACCTAATTAACATTGCGTGTTAAAAGAATACACTACTATACCAATTAAACACACCTAATTAACATTGCGTGTTAAAAGAATACACTACTATACCAATTAAACACACCTAATTAACATTGCGTGTTAAAAGAATACACTACTATACCAATTAAACACACCTAATTAACATTGCATGTTAAAAGAATACACTACTATACCAATTAAACACACCTAATTAACATTGCGTGTTAAAAGAATACACTACTATACCAATTAAACACACCTAATTAACATTGCGTGTTAAAAGAATACACTACTATACCAAGTTATCTCTACTTTTTATTAACATATAATAATTAGTTTCTGTAATATGTCAATTTCAATAATCTTATAAAATATAAGCATCACTTTGGACAGTTTTTGTCAATTTTTGTCAATTTTCCTTAGTTTCATTTTTTTAATTTGCCCTAGGTATGTACTGAGTATGTACTAGGTATGTACTATGTACATAAAATTACCTAGTACATACATACAAATAAAGTTTGAATCCGTCAATTGAACTAGTTTTAATGTTAAATCACAGAGATCATTACTTTGAAGAGTAATTATAATAATAATAATTTGGTCGACCGCAGTCGGGGAGCCGATTTCCCTGTCTAATTGCATTTCGGCCACGGTCCTTTCGGTACAGATTTCCCTGCAGTATAGTCGGGACGCAACCCCAGGCGTATACACTCGTGTTATATTCGCAGCTCTAATGAAAGCCACTACCATTTACACCATGGTTTGGTGAGTGACGGCTGCCCTTCAGTTTTTGAGATTTTAGCCCAACTGGGATTCGAACTCGCAACCTCCAGGCCAGTAGACAGGCGGATTAACCGACTGAGCCACTGAGCCACTTGAGCCACTGAGCCACTGAGAGTAATTATAATTTTTATACAACAGGAAAGAGAGTGCCCTTATCTCGTTACTCGCCTCTCTTTGGTGCCATCAGGAGCTTGCTTGTCCAGTGCTTTAGTAGATACCAGATGATAAACAAGGCTAGCTATACTCAAGTTCCCTTCAACTAGCGGGGTAACAGACAGGGATATTATAACCTCCTCCTCAGGACCTAGTACCAACCGAGCTAGCTCAGACGTTTCAACCTGAGGGACAAAGACCTTCAGTTTATTAAATATTGCACACTTCTTGTTTATCAGGTAATTTATTTGACATGATATCTAAAACTACAGTACGTGTACCTCACAGACCACACTACAGTACGTGTACCTCACAGACCCCACTACAGTACGTGTACCTCACAGACCACACTACAGTACGTGTACCTCACAGACCACACTACAGTACGTGTACCTCACAGACCCCACTACAGTACGTGAACCTCACAGACCACACTACAGTACGTGTACCTCACAGACCACACTACAGTACGTGTACCTCACAGACCACACTACAGTACGTGAACCTCACAGACCACACTACAGTACGTGTACCTCACAGACCACACTACAGTACGTGTACCTCACAGACCACACTACAGTACGTGGACCTCACAGACCACACTACAGTACGTGTACCTCACAGACCACACTACAGTACGTGTACCTCACAGACCACACTACAGTACGTGTACCTCACAGACCACACTACAGTGCGTGTACCTCACAGACCACACTACAGTACGTGTACCTCACAGACCACACTACAGTACGTGTACCTCACAGACCACACTACAGTACGTGTACCTCACAGACCACACTACAGTACGTGTACCTCACAGACCACACTACAGTACGTGTACCTCACAGACCACACTACAGTACGTGTACCTCACAGACCCCACTACAGTACGTGCACCTCACAGACCACACTACAGTACGTGTACCTCACAGACCACACTACAGTACGTGTACCTCACAGACCACACTACAGTACGTGTACCTCACAGACCACACTACAGTACGTGTACCTCACAGACCACACTACAGTACGTGTACCTCACAGACCACACTACAGTACGTGTACCTCACAGACCACACTACAGTACGTGTACCTCACAGACCACACTACAGTACGTGCACCTCACAGACCACACTACAGTACGTGTACCTCACAGACCACACTACAGTACGTGTACCTCACAGACCACACTACAGTAAGTGTACCTCACAGACCACACTACAGTACGTGCACCTCACAGACCAGGGGTGTAGGAATGATTTTCTTCATGGGGGGGGGGGCCAAATTCAAAATATTTTTTGGCGCTTCGCGCCACACCCTAAATTTTTTGGCCCTTCGCGCCAAATCCTGAATTTCGAGGGTAAGGGCAAAAGAAAATTGCAGCATGTGCGGTATCGCGATTTTTCACGTTTGCCGCGACAAATCGCGATTTTTCAGATTCTGGCCTCACGACAAATCGCGATTTTTTTCAGTTCTCCGCTTCAAATTGCGCATTTTCCTTTAAATCTACGGACCAAATTCTCGTTTTCTATAATTAGTATATGAAACCAATCAGTATCGCATCCACAACCTTCCGAATGTAGGCACGGACTTCAAAAAACCGAAAACAGAAAAATATATTTTCGGCTCAGAATGATCAAGGTAGCATGAAACATGAACTAAAGTAATTTCCAGAAAAACTTTGAAAAATTTTGACTTAGAAAATTGTCGGTCCGAGTCATTCTCGATACGTACCTCTGAAAGCAGAGCTCCCGCTTCCGAGCTCGTATTGCGAAGGGGAGGCCTGCCTTCCGAGATCGCATTACAAAGGCCAAAGGGGAACCCTCGAGTCCAAAATCATATATCGAACTTCGAAAACAGAAAAATATATTTTCGGCTCAGAATGATCAAGGTAGCATGAAACATGAACTAAAGTAATTTCCAGAAAAACTTTGAAAAATTTTGACTTAGAAAATTGTCGGTCCGAGTCATTCTCGATACGTACCTCTGAAAGCAGAGCACCCGCTTCCGAGCTCGTATTGCGAAGGGGAGGCCTGCCTTCCGAGATCGCATTACAAAGGCCAAAGGGGAACCCTCGAGTCCAAAATCATATATCGAACTTCGAAAACAGAAAAATATATTTTCGGCTCAGAATGATCAAGGTAGCATGAAACATGAACTAAAGTAATTTCCAGAAAAACTTTGAAAAATTTTGACTTAGAAAATTGTCGGTCCGAGTCATTCTCGATACGTACCTCTGAAAGCAGAGCACCCGCTTCCGAGCTCGTATTGCGAAGGGGAGGCCTGCCTTCCGAGATCGCATTACAAAGGCCAAAGGGGAACCCTCGAGTCCAAAATCATATATCGAACTTCGAAAACCGAAAAAAATATTTTTGGCTCATAATGATCAGGGTAGCATGAAACATGAACAAAAGTAGTTTCCAGAAAAACTTTGAAAAATTTTGACTTAGAAAATTTTCGGTCCGAGTCATTCTCGATACGTACCTCTGAAAGCAGAGCTCCCGCTTCCAAGCTCGTATTGCGAAGGGGAGGCCTGCCTTCCGAGATCGCATCAGAAAGGGGAACCCTCGAGTCCAAAATCATACATCGAACTTCGAAAACCAAACAAAATATTTTTGGCTCATAATGATCAGGGTAGCATGAAACATGAACAAAAGTAGTTTCAGAAAAACTTTGAAAATTTTTGACTAAATAAATTTTCGGGGAAAAAATTTTTTTTCCCAAAAATTTTTAGAAACCTAAATTAAAAAGTTGGCCCTTTTTGGCCCCTTGCCCAGATTTCATGGGGGGGCGATGGCCCCCCTGCCCCCCCGCTTCCTACACCCCTGTCACAGACCACACTACAGTACGTGTACCTCACAGACCACACTACAGTACGTGCAACTCACAGACCACACTACAGTACGTGCACCTCACAGACCACACTACAGTACGTGCACCTCACAGACCCCACTACAGTACGTGTACCTCACAGACCACACTACAGTACGTGTACCTCACAGACCACACTACAGTACGTGCACCTCACAGACCACACTACAGTACGTGCACCTCACAGACCACACTACAGTACGTGCACCTCACAGACCACACTACAGTACGTGTACCTCACAGACCACACTACAGTACGTGTACCTCACAGACCACACTACAGTACGTGTACCTCACAGACCACACTACAGTACGTGTACCTCACAGACCACACTACAGTACGTGCACCTCACAGACCACACTACAGTACGTGCACCTCACAGACCACACTACAGTACGTGCACCTCACAGACCCCACTACAGTACGTGTACCTCACAGACCACACTACAGTACGTGTACCTCACAGACCACACTACAGTACGTGTACCTCACAGACCACACTACAGTACGTGCACCTCACAGACCACACTACAGTACGTGCACCTCACAGACCACACTACAGTACGTGTACCTCACAGACCACACTACAGTACGTGTACCTCACAGACCACACTACAGTACGTGTACCTCACAGACCACACTACAGTACGTGTACCTCACAGACCACACTACAGTACGTGTACCTCACAGACCACACTACAGTACGTGTACCTCACAGACCACACTACAGTACGTGCACCTCACAGACCCCACTACAGTACGTGTACCTCACAGACCCCACTACAGTACGTGTACCTCACAGACCACACTACAGTACGTGCACCTCACAGACCACACTACAGTACGTGCACCTCACAGACCACACTACAGTACGTGTACCTCACAGACCACACTACAGTACGTGTACCTCACAGACCACACTACAGTACGTGTACCTCACAGACCACACTACAGTACGTGCACCTCACAGACCACACTACAGTACGTGCACCTCACAGACCACACTACAGTACGTGTACCTCACAGACCACACTACAGTACGTGTACCTCACAGACCACACTACAGTACGTGTACCTCACAGACCACACTACAGTACGTGTACCTCACAGACCACACTACAGTACGTGTACCTCACAGACCACACTACAGTACGTGTACCTCACAGACCACACTACAGTACGTGCACCTCACAGACCACACTACAGTACGTGTACCTCACAGACCACACTACAGTACGTGTACCTCACAGACCACACTACAGTAAGTGTACCTCACAGACCACACTACAGTACGTGCACCTCACAGACCAGGGGTGTAGGAATGATTTTCTTCATGGGGGGGCCAAATTCAAAATATTTTTTGGCGCTTCGCGCCACACCCTAAATTTTTTGGCCCTTCGCGCCAAATCCTGAATTTCGAGGGTAAGGGCAAAAGAAAATTGCAGCATGTGCGGTATCGCGATTTTTCACGTTTGCCGCGACAAATCGCGATTTTTCAGATTCTGGCCTCACGACAAATCGCGATTTTTTTCAGTTCTCCGCTTCAAATTGCGCATTTTCCTTTAAATCTACGGACCAAATTCTCGTTTTCTATAATTAGTATATGAAACCAATCAGTATCGCATCCACAACCTTCCGAATGTAGGCACGGACTTCAAAAAACCGAAAACAGAAAAATATATTTTCGGCTCAGAATGATCAAGGTAGCATGAAACATGAACTAAAGTAATTTCCAGAAAAACTTTGAAAAATTTTGACTTAGAAAATTGTCGGTCCGAGTCATTCTCGATACGTACCTCTGAAAGCAGAGCTCCCGCTTCCGAGCTCGTATTGCGAAGGGGAGGCCTGCCTTCCGAGATCGCATTACAAAGGCCAAAGGGGAACCCTCGAGTCCAAAATCATATATCGAACTTCGAAAACAGAAAAATATATTTTCGGCTCAGAATGATCAAGGTAGCATGAAACATGAACTAAAGTAATTTCCAGAAAAACTTTGAAAAATTTTGACTTAGAAAATTGTCGGTCCGAGTCATTCTCGATACGTACCTCTGAAAGCAGAGCACCCGCTTCCGAGCTCGTATTGCGAAGGGGAGGCCTGCCTTCCGAGATCGCATTACAAAGGCCAAAGGGGAACCCTCGAGTCCAAAATCATATATCGAACTTCGAAAACCGAAAAAAATATTTTTGGCTCATAATGATCAGGGTAGCATGAAACATGAACAAAAGTAGTTTCCAGAAAAACTTTGAAAAATTTTGACTTAGAAAATTTTCGGTCCGAGTCATTCTCGATACGTACCTCTGAAAGCAGAGCTC